ATTTCTGATGAAGGGTCTAGGCCTGAAACGTCAGCCTCTCTGCTCCTATGATGCTGCTTGGCCTGCTGTGTTCATCCAGCCCTGCACCTTGTTGTCTCAGATTCTCCAGCATCTGCAGTTCCTACTATCTCCACTTCTGGAAAGATTTTGTTCCACATTGAGGTGAGATTCTGGATGTTTCTAATGTTCAGTTAAACATTGCTGCTTCAGTGAGATTGAGAAATAACATTTTAGTACTGAATACCCATGGCTCTTAAAATTTGACCTTACAATAACCTATCAAAGATTGATTATTTTCATTGATATTTCAAAAAGAACTTAAAGTGCCAAATGTTTGGACTGATGACCAACCCTGTGGTATTTTTGAATTATTGTTTTCCTGCTTACAGTTAAACAGGAATTTTCGTATGTTCTGGTGTGAGAAAACATTGTGCAATTCAGAAATAAGGTGCATTAATGTAAAAGTTATTAAAATTTTCCATGCTGTACATGATGCTGAATATTCTGCAGAGAGTAACACACCTCCTGATTCCCCCAAGATTTTACACGGACTTGGACTGACCATGTATCAAATGACCCAAATGACTGTTTTTGGATCTAAGGATGTGAGGGTAATGGAATCAGAGTAGATGATCTGATGACAATCTGTGAAAGCAGTTTAGTTCTGGAGAGCTGACATGTGACTCCTGCCGTAGTTGAAGGTTTTGTTTTTGATTTTGCAGCACTTTGAAGTTGTCTCTTAGCTTTGAAAAATTCCTGAAAAATAAAGTAAGAGCTTCCATTTATTCTGTCCTGCTCCTGACCTGCAGCATGTCCTCGAGTACTTCTGATGTGTTGTGATATAGGGATATGTGACAATTAATTTGCCCCTGCTTGTCTTTGAATAACGTCAAGGGATCTTTTGCATCTATGAGATTTAGTGCATTTTTTTTAAAAAAGCTAACACCCTTGACAGTGAAATGTCAACTTAAACGATGCATTCACTTGCAGTGTTCTTGGCTCAATGATCTACAACTGCCTCAATGACCTTCCCTTCAGTAAAAGGTCAGAAATGTGAATGTTTCTTTGTGGTTGAAGTGTAAATACTCAAGATACCGAAGCAGTACATGTTCACATGAAGCAAGACTTGGACAAACATTAAAGGTTGGATTAATACGTGGCAAAGAATATTTGTGTCATATAAATGCTAGGCAATGATCATCTCCAATAAAAGAACATCTAACCAGCTTCCCTTTCCTCAATTGTCTACTCTGAACATTCTGGGATTACTATTGACCAGAACCTGAACTGGACCGGGCGCACATTGTGAATATAAGAACCGATTAGGGGCTTAATATCCTGCAGTAAGTAACTCACCTTCCAACCAATCAAAGCTTTTTTAGCATCTACGAGCCACATGTAGTGGAATGTAATGGAATACTGTCCTCCTGTCCAAATGGGTGTGGCTCCGACATGCTTCACGCTGACCAAGACAAAGCAGTCTGCTTGATTGACACCTCATGCCTTCAACTCCCTCCATCACTGATGGAAATCAATCAAAGTGTATACCAAATACAAGGTGTGCTGATGCAACTCGCTAAGGCTTTTTTTGACAGTACCTTCCAAATTCATGAATCGTTCTGCTGCTGAAAAATAGGACAAAGATTTCAGGTGCATAAGAACACCACCACCTGCAAGTTTCCCTCCAAACCCCACACAATCCTGCCTCAGGGATCAATATCATTTTCCCTTCACTATCACTGGGTGAAAACCCCAGAACTCCCTTCACAATAGCACTGAGGAAAATGTTCACCGCAAGGACTGCAGTCACTCAAGAGATGACCTATTGTTTATAAATACTGGATTTGCCAGTGGTACCCACACCTCATGAATGAACAAAAATCAACTTTCTGGAATGGGACTTAATCTTCAGAATCGGGTAGCAGGGATACATCCAGCCAAGCTTGATATCAATATTAATATAATTCTCAATGGGAAAATTACACACGTGTGAAATATATAAAGAAACTTTGTAAGTGGATGTGGAAGAAAATGGCTTGATGGATGAATAACCTCTTTTTTGTTCCTTGTTCTCTTGTAAGATATTTTGTGGCATTTGAAAATGATCTCGTTTTCAAATGGATACTTCTGGGCAAAGGATAAAGATGTCATTCACTGGACTGAGCAGAGCTGGATCAAAGCAAGAATGGTCCATAATGCATTATGCCATTGTCATGTTGAGGCTAGCACTGTGAATTATGTGTATAAGACTCTTCCATGACATGTTGTGATTATTTATCATCTGAACATTTTTGCTGTCCCAACTGTGAATCATATGAGATTTTGATGCAGACCTCCAGTATATATTGGATGTTGTTATTGATTTTTCCCATTGTCAATCAAGGGCCAGTAGCAAGGAGAGCTTGGTTTCATGTTTAAAAGCTGATAGGCCAAAAAACACCAATGGGAACGGTCGACCTGCAAGAGTAATCTGTAAGTGTCAAAGCTGAGAATCTTTTTGAATAGTTTCAGGCAACAGATACTTCAGGAACAAATAGGATGCACCCTCTTCACATACATAAACTGAATTGAATGATTTAAAATGAATGTGTAACAAAGAGGTAATAACACTGAGATAGTAGGAACTGCAGATGCTGGAGAATCCGAGACAACAAGGTGCAGGGCTGGATGAACACAGCAGGCCAAGCAGCATCATAGGAGCAGAGAGGCTGACGTTTTGGGCCTAGACCCGTCATCAGAAAAGGGGGAGGGGAAGGGGGTTCCGAAATAAATAGGGAGAGAGTGGGAGGCGGATAGAAGATGGATAGAGGAGAAGATAGGTGGAGAGGAAACAAACAGGTCGAAGAGGCGGGGATGGAGCCAGTAAAGGTGAGTGCAGGTGGGGAGTTAGGGAGGGGATAGGTCAGTCCAGGGAGGACAGACAGGTCAAGGGGGCGGGATGAGGTTGGTCGGTAGGAGATGGAGGTGCGGCTTGAGGTGGGAGGAGGGGATAGGTGGGAGGAAGAACAGGTTAGGGAAGCAGGGATGAGCTGGACTGGTTTTGGGATGCGGTAGGGGGAGGGGAGCTTTTGAAACTTGTGAAATCCACATTGATACCATTGGGCTGCAGGGTTCCCAAGCAGAATATGAGTTGCTGTTCCTGCAACCTTCGGGTGGCATTGTTGTGGCACTGCAGGAGGCCCAGGATGGACATGTCGTCTGAGGAATGGGAGAGGGAGTTGAAATGGTTCGCGACTGGGAGGTGCAGTTGTTTATTGTGAACCGAGCGTAGGTGTTCTGCAAAGTGGTCCCCGAGCCTCCGCTTGGTTTCCCCGATGTAGAGGAAGCCACAGCGGGTACAGCGGATGCAGTATACCACATTGGCAGATGTGCAGGTGAACATCTGCTTGATGTGGAAAGTCTTCTTGGGGCCTGGGATGGGGGTGAGGGAGGAGGTATGGGGGCAGGTGTAGCACTTCCTGCGGTTGCAGGGAAAAGTGCCGGGTGTGGTGGAGCTGGAGGGGAGTGTGGAGCGGACAAGGGAGTCACGGAGAGAGTTGTCCCTCCGGAAAGCAGATAAGGGTGGGGAGGGAAAGATGTCTTTGGTGGTGGGGTCGGATTGCAGATGGCGGAAGTGTCAGAGGATGATGCGTTGGATCTGGAGGTTGGTGGGGTGGTACGTGAGGACGAGGAGGATTTTTTTTGGTTCTTATTGCGTGGACGGGGTGTGAGGGATGAGGTGCGGGAGATGTGGGAGACACAGTTGAGGGCGTTCTCGACCACTGAGGGGGGGAAGTTACGGTCCTTGAAAAACGAGGACAACTGAGATGTACGGGAGTGGAATGCCTCATCCTGGGAGCAGATGCGGCGGAGGCGAAGGAATTGAGAATGGTAATAACACTGAGGTGTGTCATTGTTTGCATTTACTATTCAAAGTATGGATGAAGTCATGTATCTGGCACATAAGGGTTTCCCTGACTGAGACTATGGAAAGGTCAAAAACCCGCTAAGAAATCCTTGTTGTGTAAAGATGTCCAAGTTGTATGCTACATGAAAAAAATTAAACTCAAGATGTCTGGTGTACTTGTCCTATCTTCTGAGTGACTCAAAGTGATCCTGTGCCCCTGAGGACAGAATTAAAGAATTACAATAACATGTGAAAGAATATTATAAGCTACTGTTGTCAAACCAGTTTAGCAACTACAAACTACTATTTGTAACCAACTCCAAGACTACGGATGTTGCAATTTTTTTAAAGAGCTTCGCTAATTTGTTTATCTGGTTACCAGTAAACACATTTCTCTGTTTCTAAGCTTTTATGACCCAAGTATAGAAATTTAATTTGGAAGAATGTCCCTGGTTCTCAAAGGGGTTACACAGTCTTTCATTAGTCTTCTGCCCATCTCTTTGCAGCAAGAGAGCAGTTTTGGTGCTACAGAATGAGCAACTTTATCCTCAGAGGCGCTCATATACCAGTGAAGATGAGGCATGGAAATCCTTCCTGGAAAATCCTCTGACTGCCGCCACCAAGGCCATGATGAGCATCAATGGAGATGATGATAGTGCTGCTGCTTTGGGTTTACTGTATGATTATTACAAGGTATGTAATCCCAGCAGATGAAAGACACAATTCAGAGAATCTCCCACATGTCACGTCTGAATCTTAAAACATACTTAAATTACCTAGTGCTGGAGTAACTGTTCTGTTTGATTCAATCCTGTTAGTAACCATTTAAACCAACACAGTCCAGCACAGCCAACTCTCAAATGAATATGCTGCCCTTGTTAACATCTGTAAATTGATTTTTACCAATTAGATTGATTTAACATATTGAAGGAACTATTTTGAACTTTATTTTAATTCTTAAACTTAGCAGGCATGTTCCAGGAAGTAAACTGCCACCTTGGACCAACTAATTAGCTTATGTACTGTGTCAAAAATCTAGTGCCGCTAGAATTTCAGATGTTGACATCAACTCAGTGTAGAAAACTTAATTAGAAATGGAAACATTGCAATGTTTGAGACCTGCCTTTACGGTAACTGAGAGTGGTGCCAGGAGGTAAGGTTGCATGAATTAAGAGATTTTTATTTTCTGGACCTCATTTCCAGGTGTGAGGTTAGACTCCTTGCTGGAAATGACCACCTTTTTAGCAGGTCGGGAGTGGGAGTCCAGACCTCAGCTGAGAGTAGATGTATTTGTCTGGTGAATAGCTGAAGCCATGCGGAACTACAAGGTTTAAGTTCAGTCTTCTTCTGGGCTGAGATAGCTGAGGTGATCAGCAAGTATCAGCCAGCGTTCTGACTCTGGGTCACACTGACCACCCATGGTGGGAAAGTGGACAGGGCCAGGCATTGCTGTGATGTCTCAATCATTTTTAACTGTTTATCATCCAGGTCCATGCATGGACAATGGCTAGTTTGGAAAGCAACTGCTCACATTTAAAGAGGGGCCAAACTGTCAAAGGAGGACAGAGAAAAAATAAGTTGAAAAGGAAAGGGAAATACTCTTCTCCTTGAAGAGTTTCTTTTTATTTGTTCATGGGAAGTAGGCATCATTGGTTAAGCAATTTATTTCCCATTCTAATTGCCCAAAGGGTAGTTAAGTATCTGGATTTTCATGTAGGCCACCAGGTAAGGAAGGCAAATTTGATTCCCCTAAAGGATGTTAGTGAATCAGATGGATTTTTAATGACAATTAACACTGAGTACATACTTGTCATCAGGCTAGATTTATCTCCAGATTTTTATTGAATTTTACCATTTGCCATGGCGGGATTCAAACCCATGCCCTCAGAACATTGGCCTGGTATTCTTGATTGCTAATCCACTGACATTACCACTACACCACTGTTACTCTCCTGAAGCTAAGAAATTGAAACATTATCGACTAAACATTACACGTGTTCACACAGAAAATATCAAATAAAGCAGCTGTCTCCTTTTTGAATCCAATTTTATCTGTAGTAAGATCAGCTTATTTGTGAAGCTGATGTGGAATATAAATGTTAACAGAGGTAACAAGGTGTAGAGCTGGATGAACACAGCAGGCCAAGCAGCATCAGAGGAGCAGGAAGGCTGATGTTTCGGGCCTAGAGCCTTTTTCAGAAAATTTCCTGAAGAAGGGTTTAGACGCAAAACGTCAGCTTTCCTTCTCCTCTGATGCTGCTTGGCCTACTGTGTTCATCCAGCTCTACACCTTGTTATCTCAGATTCTCCAGCATCTGCAGTTCCTCCTATCTCTAAATGTTAACAGCAGTACACAGGATTGGTTAGATTCTAATTCAGTTTATGTTTAAGAAAAGAATGTTGCTCACCTTGTGAGTTTCTCTTTCTGCAATATTAACCATGTCTCAGAACCTGTTCTGAAATAATGCTGCAGATATGATTGAGTGAATATAAATGCAACTGCGTGACTTTCTTACTGCATTTTCACAGAAATGACAGGATGAAAGTGAAAATGATTTTAGCCAGAGATGAACATTGAAAGCGAATTGTTGTTCAACCTAAGTTTTAAGGATGGCAGATAACACAGGTTGATAATTGAAACCTTTGTGCAAACTGGCCGAAACTACACTGACTTGAGTTACTGGCTACCACAGTATATTACTAGGCATTTGCTGGATAGATAGCAGCTACTTGGAAAAACCATGTGTTTTGATTGCTGCCAACAAAATACTGTTCATTACAACTTGCTACAGAACATCTAAATACTTCCCTTGTTAGGTTCCCAGAGAGAAAAGGACGATGCCACCAGAGAAAAGTTCCAGTACTGACCCTGAGCACAATAAAAGGTAAGAGTATTATAGCTGTTGATATGTGCTTAGAATCATAGAAGGGCATTCATCCCATACTGTCTGTTGGCTCCTTGGGAGAGTTGTCCAATTAGTTCTACTTTCCTGCTTTTCCCAAAGCCTACAAACTTTTACGTTTTCAGACGCACAACCAATACTTTTTTGAATGTTGTTATTGAGTCTGGATCCACCACTTTTGCAGGTAATACAGTTCTAATCATTATGATTTGCTGTATTTCATAAAACAGAAAATCTTGATCTTCAAGGATCGGTGTTGAGTCTACTCCTTTTCAACATTTATATAAATGATTTTAATGTGAACATAGGATGTATGATTAGTAAGTTTGTAGATGATACCAAAATTGGAGGTGGAGTGGACAGTGAAGAAGGTTACCTCAGAGTACAATGGTATCTTGATCAGATGGGCCAATGGGCTGAGGAGTGGCAGCTGGAGTTTAGTTTAGATAAATGTGAGGTGCTGCATTTTGGAAAGGCAAATCAGGGCAGGACTTATGCACTTAATAGTAATATCCTGGGGAGTGTTGCTGAACAAGGACACCTTGGAGTGCAGGTTCATTGTTCTTTGAAAGTGGAGTTGCAGGTAGATAGGATAATGAAGAACGCATTTGGTATACTTGCCTTTATAGGTCAGTGCATTGAGTATAGTAGTTGGGAGGTCATGTAGAGGCTGTACAGGGCATTGGTTAGGCCACTTTTCGAATACTGCGTGCAATTCTAGTCTCCATGCTGTAGGAAGGATGTTGTGAAACTTGAAAGTGTTCGGAAAAGATTTACAAAGACGTTGCCAGGGTTTGAGGGTAATTGCGATAGGGAGAGGCTGGAGCTATTTTCTCTGGAGCGTCGGAGGTTGAGGGTGATCTTATAGAGGTTTATAAAATCATGAGTGGCATGGATAGGGTAAATAGACAAAGACTTTTCCCTGGGGTGAGGGAGTCCAAAACTAGAGGACACAGGGGAAAGATTTAAAACAGTCCTAAGGGGCAATGTTTTCATGAAGAGGGTGGTGTATAGAATGAGCTGCCAGAAGGGGTAGTGGAGCCTGGTACAATTGCAACATTTAAAAGGCATCTGGATGGGTATATGAATAGGAAGGGTTTAGAGGGATATGGGCCAAAAGCTGGCAAATGGGACTGGATTAATTTAGAATATCTGGTTGGCAAAGACAAGTTGGACAAAGGGTCTGTTCCCATGCTGTACACTTCTATGACTATGACTGTATGACTCTCTCTGACTCATTTGTAAAGTAGCTTAAACTTATGTCCTGTGGTTACTGACCTTTCCTGCTCAGTAGAAACCTTTTCTCTTTATTTGCTCTTTCAAAACCATCCATTATTTAAAATTGGGTACAATTTCAAGTTCAGTGGCTCAGATCCAATTGTTCAAAAACCAGAGCTCTGAAACTTGCATCAATTTTAACTGAGCCAAATTTAAAAAGAAACCTTGCCTGGACAGTTTGTTTATGCACCGTATTAGTGTGGTTTATCTCCAGAGTAGTTATTGGCTTTGCTGTTTTATGGATCACTGTACCTGATGCTCCAAACAAATCCTAATCCTTCTTGATACGAATTGCCCATGGCTTGAACCACCTGATCTGCAATCTGGCAATACCTGAAACTGAGTATAGCCTTGGTCCCAAGGTTGCTAAATTTGAAGTACAGTGCTTGTAGCTCTTATAGTTTGTGCTTAGTCAATAATTGTTGTTTGCCTATTTAACCATTGGGTCATTCAAAATTGAATTTTAATATTGTGAATATTTTCCACTGGCAATCAGGAATGAGACTCAGAATCTCATTTTTCCCTTCCCTTTCCAGAGAGCCATACTTGTTGCATGAACCGCCTGCAACAGAACTGATCTCCCAGATGGGTCAGCCCATAATACTTGGAGCACAGGAACTCCAGCCCTTTATATTGATAGGTGTAAGCTATCATTCCACAAAGTTAATCGGCAAACATGGATGCCAAGTCGAAACCCGGTCTAACAAGCTTCCAGCCGTTCCTGTTGGAACAGCCCCGGATTTTTGGAGCCACTATTTTTTTTGTAAGCATGTAAGGGGTTTGTGGAAACAGGTCATTGCTACTCCAAATGTTTCACACAAGGTGCGAAGCATTTTTTGTTTATTCCAAGAAAGAAACCCAATCATTGACACAAAATCTGAACTTGGTGAAAGCTTCAATTAATTAGCTTAGGCAAATAATATTTAAGGGACTGCTCAGTTAAGTAGATAGTGGTTTTGTAATGGATGCTTTAAACCCCAGTGTTTCTCCATCTGAGTGATGCAAAGGGATGTCCAACAGAAAATTATGGTTGATTATTATGGCTTTATTGTTGAATATTGTGCTAAGTCAGTATAGTTAAAAGAGGACTGCTGATTCCATATTTTAGTGTGTTAACATCCCAGCAACTCAACTTCTTATTTTATGCAGAATGCGTCATTCGGACAATATTGATGTGGCTGCCTGTCACATGTCTCTTTTAATTTTACATTAACTTCTAATGTTACAGTACAGTGGCAACCGATCTGATGTCTTTTTTTCCAATCCCACTGCAATAATTAGTGAGTTTCCCAATGTGAATCATTTGGATTTAAGCCATAGGGGTGTTACTGAAATTTAGTAAGTGTAGAATTGCCCCAGTTTTGACTATTGGCGTTCAGAATATCCATCAATTAAAAAGAGAGATGGAAATATCTGTGCTTGTCTGAGAGCAGTTTCTATGTAACACAATGGTTACTATGCATCTGGGTGGTGGAAGTATTGCCAGCTGTGTACAGTGGCCGCTCAGGGAGTAGAGGTTCTGAAGCTTGGTTGTGCTGAATCAGAGATCCTAGGTTTCTCAAGAGTTTTGCCTTCTCAAACGCTTTAGCTGTTGACTCCTACAAAAGTTTGAGTGGACTGGGAGGAACACACATACAGGTACATTATCTATAATCTATGGAACCAACAGACATCATGGGCTCAATCACACTTTGTTTTTCTTGAAGAATTGTTGACACATATAGTGACCACACTATTCTTTGAACACACTTGACCAGCAACCCAGGTAAATTGTGCTGCAAAATAATGAATCCAGGTTCCAAATAATTACCCATACTCTCTGGGATCTTATGAACATGTTTTATTCCTTTTTATATGAAAATTTTAAAAATTTCTTTCCGTTTTGTTTTGCTCATTGGAAGATTGCTAACCCCCATGCATCTCCCTCGCACTAGAAGGGGAGTGCGGTCAGGGATGCTGCCTTCTACACAGCCATCTTCAATGCTGCTCTATGATCGTCCAGAAGGAGCCACAATTCAAACAGGGTAAGCCGGCAGTATTGGGTTTTCAAGCTATTTCCTTCTTTTGATTATGTAATAACTATTATTATAGAGTCCGAGAGTCATACAGCATGGAAACAGACCCTTTGGTCCAACCAGTCCATGCTGACCATGTCTCCAAACTAAACTAGACCTACCTGCATGCGCTTGACCCATATCCCTACAAACCTTCCCTTTTCAATAACTTATCTAAATTTTTTTTAATGGTAATTCTACCAAGGAGCCTACTCATTAATGAGCAAACTTCTCAAAATGCCCTGGACAGGTTTGAGTGCCATCAGCCCTGAGATTTGAACCGTAACCTTACTGGTAAAGGGGCAAATTTTCTTTTCTATTTTTTATTATTCATTCATAGGATGAGGGCATTGCTGGCTAGGCCAGCATTTATTGCCCATCCCTAATTGCCCAGAGGGCAGTTAAGAGTCAGCTGCGTTGCTGTGGGTCTGGAGTCACATGCAGGCCAGACCAGGTTAGGATGGAAAATCCTTTCCCTAAAGGACATTTGTGAATCAGTTGGGTTTTTTCAACAATCAACAATGGATTCATGGTCATCATTAGTCACTTAATTCAGATTTTTAAAAAAATTGAACTCAGATTCCACCTTCTGCCACGGCATAATTCAAACCTGGGTCCCCAAAACATTATTTCAGTTTCTGCATTAACAGTCCAGTGATAATCCCACTGGGCCATCACTTCCCTGCTAAAGTACACTGCTTCTTGTTTTAGCGAAATATGCTTTATTTACAAAGTTCAAGTTTCATTTACTTAACGTAGTCAATTTCTAATAATACCGTATATGATTTTCAAAGAGATGCTAAATGAAATTGAGATATTTTGCCTAAGCTTAGGCTACTGAAAGAAGGTTATACTTGACAAAGTTTACATTGCAGTGTACACTAATCCTTTCTTTCCAGGGTATTTCTTGTTCTGGCATAATGGTGTGGTCACATTCTTGGGCTAGGTAACTTGTACGGGTAGTTTTAATGCTGCTTGGTATGATGGAAAAATGTAATTAAGAGATCCAGAGTCAACTTTCTAATGTTACTTTGTGCAACTCCTTTTTTATTTGCTGGTATAGCAGATTTAGGGGTCAGAAAATAAAAATGCAACTATTTAATCAAAATAAACAATTCATCATAAAAGACTAGATTTCTTGCCCTGAATGTTTCAATTTTTCTGAACTTGCTACAAGGATGATGAATTGGAAGAAACGTGTTTGTGTTTGTGTGTGTGATGTATGCATTCTTCCATACTACAGATCTATATGTCCTGCTGTGGTGTGAAATAGGCACAATAGACATTGAGATCTAGCTAAACAGAGATTAGAACTATGAGAATGGGGAAATGTAAATAGAGCTGAAATGGATTCTTGGTGCAGGTTAAATTAATTGATTGGGGAACCAAAATTTCGTGAAGATGGTGGAAATCAGCTAGGCTTCCTGCTCCTAAAAACTATTCATAATTGAGCTGGAATGAGCATGTGGAAGAACATCAGTAAGAATAGGACTGAGAACGTCAACAGGACTAGCAAACTTGAAGTTGATAAGAATTGGGGAGGGGTGGAAAAAACACTGGTTGTACTTACACCTAGCACAAAGTAAGATGATGTGGTTGTCAGAGGTCAGTCACCTCAGTTCCATCTCATCACTGCAGGAGTTTCTCCCAGCATAGTGTCCTAGGCCCATCCATCAGCTGCTTCATCAATGACCTTCCTTCCATTGTATGGTCAGAGTGGGATGTTTGCTGATGATTGGTCAATGGCCAGCACCATTCACTCAGATGCTGAAGCAGTCCATGTCCATTTGCAGCAAAACCTGGACCAAATTCAGGCTTGGATAGATAAATGGTAAATAACATTTGCAACACACAAGTACCAGGCAATTAGTGTGTCCAACAAGAGAGAACCTAACCATCAGCCCTTGACATTCAATGGCATCACCATTGCTAAATCCCCCAATATCAACGGCTGTGGGTTATAATTGACTAGAAATTGCACTGGACAAGTCATATAAACATTGTGGCTACAAGAGTACGTCAGAGGCTAGGAGTTATGTAGTAGGTAAGTCACTCCCCAAAATTTGTCCCTCATCTGCAAAGCAAAAATCAGCGTGATGGACTATTCCCCACTTGTCTGGATTAGTACAGCTCCAACACTCAAGAACCTTGATATCATCCAGGGTAAAGCAGCCTGCTTGACCATACCCCATCCACTACCTTCAATGTTCACTCGACACACAGTGGTAGTAATGTGTACCATCTACAAAGTGATCTGTAACAAATCACCACGACTCCACCGAAAGCATGTTACATATCTGTGACCTTTATCATCTGGAATATCACCACCTGCAAGTTCCTCTCCAAGCCATACACCAACCTGACTTGGAGTTATATTACCATTCCTTCGCTGTGACAGTGTCAAAATCCTAGAACTCCTTCCTAACAGCGCTGTTGGCTACACTACACCACATGGACTACAGTCACTCAAGAGGGCACCTGACTACCATCCTCTCCAATGCAGTTAGAAATGGGAAACGAATGCTGGTCTATCCAGCAATTCCCTCATCTCACAAATGAATTTTATAAAAAGTTGTTAGACTGTGATGACCTGCATGGTTGAGCAGACTTCTGAAGTACTTGTGACGCTCACCCACATTTGATACCTCAAAATGAACCAATAAAAAATGATTGAGGTGCACAATTTTGGATTTAGCAAACATTATTTGCTCACTTGAGCAACAAACATCTACAGTAATATTGATGGGAATTTACACCCTTTTTTATCAGAATAATATTATGATATATCAAGTACTAGCTCATAAAAGACAGTGCCTAAAAGTATTTTCTTCAGTAAGAAGATATAATGTAAAACATCTACCCTAGCCACCTTCCAGTGTTTAAAGGTAGGGCTGTGGAAAGTAGGGGAGGGCTGGGAGCTGGAGTTTGAAGGTGTAACATTGGAACAGATAAATAACTGAATATGGGAAATGAAAACAAGCAAATCTAGAAATACAAGTTAGTCAAACAATTCACTGAATGATTCAGCACATAATATTATTAAAGTTGCTGTTGGTAATGGGGGAATAACACTTGATTGATTGCACAGTGTAATTGTTGACATATCTTCAAGAAGCAGCTGAACCAATTCCTGACTGGGACACAGATTGCTATATGGAAAGCCAGTGTCTTTTCTAGGTAACACATGGTCTTTGTGAGCTTATGGGTTTGATTTTCTGAGGGGGTCAGGGAAGAGTTTTCGAGACAACAAGGTGCAGGGCTGGATGAACACAGCAGGCCAAGCAGCATCATAGGAGCAGAGAGGCTGACGTTTCGGGCCTAGACCCTTCATCAGAAAAGATTGTGTTTTGTCTGTTTGCTCCTCCCAATGGCTGCTTGAGGTGGGTGTGAGTTTGTCAGGGGCTGAGTGTTGGACCTGAGATGGTCCGGGTGGAGAGGAAGAAAAGGCTGGCGGGGAAGAGCGGTCTGTGGGGGAAAAAGATTATTATTTAATAGTCCAGCTATAATGTGTCAAGTAAGCTTTGTGGAACAACTGGATTTACCTGTCTGTCATTTTTCTATAAACTCACTACATTGAATATTTATTGTGGTGGTGTTCTACAAAGCCAGTGATTGCACATGTTTATTTTGAATGGAAACAGAAATAAGTTGCCTGTGCTACGTGAACTTTATAAATGAACCATTTTAGTATTAATGCTGTTTCAATGATGATTAACATGGAGCCCTGTCTTGATCTCAGTGTCACTGTCTCCTCTCCAGGACTGGGCTGGACTCCCTCACAGTGTCACTGTCTCCCCTCCTGGATTGGGCTGGACTCCCTCACAGTGTCGCTGTCTCCCCTTCTGTACTGGGCTGGACTCCCTCACAGGGTCACTGTCTCCCCTCCTGTACTGGGCTGGACTCCCTCACAGTGTCA